CAGCACATCAAAATACATAATAAATAGCACATTTTATCTCTGAAGCAGACGACTTCTCAAAAATTGTAGACCAGTGTAACAGCATAGAGGGGATTTCGTAACTATATATAATGTTGCTACATACATGTCAACAGGATATTATTGACCTGTTGGTTGGTTTTTAAATGATACTTCATGAGCCACATTGTGTTCAAGGATTATTACAATCGTGTGTAGGGTGTGAATAGAGGGGTGTTTCGGTCACCGTTATATGGCGGTGTTGCAGTGTATGCTCACTCCGCCCCTTTTGGGGGTGGACCAGGGTTGTGAGGGCACTGCAGTTGCAGTCTACCAGACTGTCCTTGAACTCAAGATTTAGGCGCATTAAATCCAGAGTCAACATGGGGGTCCTTGGGTTCAGGACAGCGTGGCCTAATGGCCTGAGTCATTATGGCCACCCTTTGGGCTGCAAGGCCTAATGGCCAGATCCGGGGGCTGCTTCCAAAGGGGGGTAGTGGCCGGAGTAAGGGGACCTGGGCCCACCTGACTCCACTGGGTCCCAGCCCAAGGCCCTCTCAGGTTGAGTGCGTTCGCCACCCAGCCAGCCGGGATCCTACTGCAACATGCTGACCTTACATAGGTATGAGATACCACTCACTCCACCTCCCTGGGCCACTTCCTACCTTGTTTCCTGAATCTGTCGTCCATCTATCGTCGGGGTCTCGGAGTTCCCTGGCTCTGACAGCTCCATGGAACTTTGACTCCCACCAATTGACTGTAGGTAGCAGGTCTCCGGTCTGGTCCCTGGGATCTCAGGTTCCCACAGTCAGGGGCTGTAGCAGCTCCTAGCCTGGAGCCTCCACCAAGTGTGCTTCTTCCTCTGTGGCCACCCAGACTGAGCTGTTCTTCTTTATACTTACACAGCAGTTGGAGCATGCCCAGCAGAGTCTGAGGGGCGGGACTTCCTCCAGCCATAGTGTGGAATTAACCCTTTCTCGCCTAGTGCGGGATCTCCTTTCTCCTGGCACTGAGCCTTTAATGGTTCTTACACGTGCACGGTAGGCAAGAAGTAGGACTTTCTGCAAGGGTAATGAACAACCCGAAGGGCCTGGCTTCGTAGGGCACCCGTCGCACCAGTGCCTAAGGTTTACCTGATGAGTCTCTCAGGGAAACCTCTCCTTTTTTTCCTGATTCTACCACAGGCTCCCTTCCTCCTGGGGAAAGAGATGAAGGGATGCTGGTAATATACCGGTCGACACGGACAGGGTAACCAGATCCATGAAGGGTCCCAACAAGCTCCCACATAATGTTACCAGATGCTCCAAAGTCACTGGGTAAGCGAACCACTGGAAGTGTCTTCTCCCAAAATGTCACCCTTCTGCCAGGTGGAGCCAGCAGCATCAAGGGCCGGGTTCAGTATCTAGAGGTTCCTTCTCAACAGATACAACACAAAACCGTCTCCTGAGTGTAGTAAAACCTTTTAATAAAAGGAGGGAATTAACTCAGCATTAATTTGAGAAAACACCACAACTAGGGTTCATAAACACACACTGTGAGCAAAAGAGCCACCCCTGAGTAAGTTGGGCAGTGTCAGGGCCCCGCTCTCAGCCATTCCAGCTATTAATGGGGGAAGCCCTTGTAATAGACACTATCCCAAAGTAGCACCAATACTTAGACCTAGATATCAGTGATTTGAGCTCTCTATTGAGTCTAAAGGTGGAGATGGGAAATGAGGGCTACACAGTGACTAGAACCCTTAAACCAGCCCCACTCTACTAGGTACAAGTACTTCTCCCCCACACTCTTTAACTCACTAAACTTTGGAACCTATGTCCCCTGCCAAGTACGTGTCATTCAGTTCAGGTTGAGTCCCTCCATTGGGGTATGCCAGATACAGTTCTGCTGCCCTCGGTTCACACAAGAAGGCTAAGAACCCTTTAATACTCCTGCCCCAATAATAAGGAGACTGGGGATCCAACACCAGTCACAAGTGATCATTTGGGCAACCAATCCCATCATGCTGAGCACCTAGACAGGGTGGGTGTGTCCATGCAAATGAGATCAGCTTCTGAAGTCTTTTTCCACAGCTCACCACTAGATGTCAGGGGAGAGCTCATTCAGACTCTGCCGACACTGGTAAAATACCGGTCAACACAGGCAGGGTAGCCGGATCCACGAAGGGTCCCAACAAGCTCCCACCAGATGCCCCAAAGTCACTGGCTAAGGAACCGCTTGGCAAATCATGCCTCTGCATGCAAAATTCCAAGGGCAGAGGAGGCCAAGGCACAAGCCTCTAAGAGGTGACTGGCCTAACGCCTCGAGCTTGCCCAAGCTGATGCAGAAGTGCGTTCTGTCCCCACCCTCTGTCATTGGGGGGGCCTAGGCATAGGTCAGTGGTAGAAGGAAAACCGCCTTCCAGGACAGCAAGGGGAGCCGCAAAAAATGAGACACTGTTTCTCCCCAGTTTCGATGGGGGCCCTTTTGCGTGCCAGGCAAACGTGATAACCACTACAACACAGAAACTCTACTGAGCTCTTCTGCCATTCCCCTGAAATTCCACCCACTTGGGTGGCACTTGCTCTGACACGCACAGATGGGCCAACCTGGAGAGAGTGGCGGCCGCAGCGGCCAATAGCTGCCCTTCGATAGCTTAGCTGGTAGAGCGGAGGACAGCGAGATATCTCAGCAAGATATCCTTAGGAGGCTGGTTTGACTGTGGCTCGAAGGCGAGCTTCTTTTTCCACCCCTTCCTGAGGAAGAGCAAGAGAAGAAAGGAAGGGCATCTTGGCACAGCAGAGAGTCAGGCAACGTCCTTCCATGGAGGAACTGAAGATGAGGAATTCTCTCCAACTCAGAAGACATGGGGCACAGCTTTACCCTCGCCCCGAAAACCCCCCAGTGACAAAGGGCCCCGCTAAAGCTCAGATCTTCAGGCTAATGCTCTCCCAACCGAGCTACTTCAGCAGCTGCTGAATGCCCACCAGGCCAGCCGCATCTCTCCTGGGGATGTTTTCGTCAGCCATAGCGCACAAGAAGGAAGCTATTGCAAGAGGCCCATCAAGGCAAGATTAGTTTTGCCTGCTTGACTTGCTTCTTTGCCCCATTCCTGCCTTAGTACCCGGGTTGACCTGGTGGCCGAAGGGGACTGCAGCCTGCTGGAGGCAGGGAAGAAGGTGGGCAGCAAGACCCAGGCAGCAAGAGGGTCCGGCTGCTTCCTGGCTGCTTGGCCCCGGGTGTGACAGGTTGGATCACAGAAACCCCCTTGGGAGCTGCCACCCGATGTGCAAAGACTACCCCTGCTTCTGTTTTCCCTGCCAGCGCAGGACTCCAGCACCCTGTCTTGCTGAGCCAGACACTCCTGTCTGGCTCTAACACAGATCCAGGGTCTGAATCACTCGTCCCAAAGCTGCAGGTTTACCTGAAACCAGCTCACAGAAGTGTGCTTGTCTTTAGCACTCAGATGCCCAACTCCCAATGGGGTCTAAACCCAGATAAATCTGTTTTACCCTGTATAAAGCTTATGCAGGGCAAACTCATAAATTGTTCGCCCTCTATAGCACTGATAGAGAGAGATGCACAGTTGTTTGCTCCCTCAGGTATTGATACATACTCTGAGTAAATTACTAAATAAAAAGTAAAAAGAAGAACAGGAGTACTTGTGGCACCTTAGAGACTAACAAATTTATTAGAGCATAAGCTTTCGTGGACTACAGCCCACTTCTTCGGATGCATATGCATCCGAAGAAGTGGGCTGTATGACGAAAGCTTATGCTCTAATAAATTTGTTAGTCTCTAAGGTGCCACAAGTACTCCTGTTCTTCTTTTTGCGGATACAGACTAACACGGCTGTTACTCTGAAACCTGTCATTAAATAAAAAGTGATTTTATTAAATACAGACAGTAGGATTTAAGTGGTTCCAAGTAGTAACAGACAGAACAAAGTAAGTCACCAAGCAAATAAAATAAAATGCGCAAATCTGTGCCTAATCAAACTGAATACAGATAATTTCCTCACCAGTTCCAGAGTGCTCCCTTTTACAGGCTAATCTCCTTTTAGCCTGGGTCCAGCAATCACTCACACCCCCTGCAGTTACTGTCCTTTGTTTCAGTCTCCTTCAAGTACCCTGGGGGTGGGTGGAGAGGCTCCTTCTTTAGCCAGCTGAAGACAAAATGGAGGGGTCTCCCACAGCTTTAAATAGACTCTCTTGTGGGTGGAGACCCCCCTCCTCCCTCCTATGCAAAGTCCAGCTCCAAGATGGAGTTTTGGAGTCACCTGGGCAAGTCACATGCCCCTGCATGACTTAGTCTTTACAGGCCAACGCCATTGTCCACATGGTATCTTGCATGTCTCCAGGAAGACTTCTCATGTGGATTGGAGCATTCCAAGATACATTGTTCCCCAAGTGTTTCCTGATCAGGTACTTAACCTGGAGAATTCCTTCCTAAAGAAGCTGACCAAATGCCTCACAAAACTTACTTAGAAATCAAGCCAGCATACAGCCCATATTCTTACCCTCAAGTAGAAAATGATATATGTGTACAAATAGGATGAATAGATATAGTAGACCATAACCTTTACGGAGATATGTTACGTGGCACAGGCGGCACAAAACATATTCCAGCTATGTCATCCATACATTTATAAGCACCCCCTCCCCATAAAGCCTTATGGGGTACACTGTCACACCAGGGTCCTGGCTGATGCCTGGAGCCGCCCCTGGGTTAGGGGCACAGGAGGGGACAGGTGTTCTTACGTTATCTCCCACCAGACATTAGGAGACTTTCACTGCACCTTTCTAGATTTCCAGTTCTCACTTGTATCCAGTCTGCTAGTAGCTCGAGCTGAGGTAGATGGAAGCATGGTTCCTTTTGACTAACTCATCAATTCATCCAAAAATTACTGTAGTCCCCAGGCAAGGGGAGGACGGGGGGGAAGGAAAAAGCAAAAAGAACAATTGCAACAGGAAGAAAAAATGATAAAGAAAATCTGCCTATACCTCCTGGGATTCCCAGATGGTCTCCCAACCAAGTACTAGGCAGGCCCACGAGAGTTCAGCTTCCGACATCAGACAAGACCGAGCGCATTCAGCCTGGTATAGCTGTAGGCCCCTGACTCCCTCCCTCCTTACCAGCTTCCCTGTACTGACACACAAGTCTGCAAAAACCCCAACTAAACCAAACCCCACACACCCTGCCAGGCTGGGAGGGTGGGATTGGCGCCCCCTTCGGCTGGTCAAATCCCGTTCTCCCCGGGGAGCCAGGCGTGCAGGTTGTGGGAGAAAATACAGACTTCCAGGGGCCCGATCCTGGCTGAGAGGGAGGCTCCCCATTGTTGCTGCTGGGGAGGGAGAGCCCTAGACAGCTTGTTGGGTGGCAGGTAGCCTGTCCCAGGGGGCTTGACCTTTTTCCCCTTTGAGTTCTGGGGCTCCCCTGGCTCCTCCCCCCACCATCAGGCCAAGTGCCGCCAGCCAACAGGTCAACCGCAGAAAAAGGTGAAAACATTTTCTATGTCCGACTGGCCAACAGGTCAACCCCATTCTAGTCGTCTGGTTGACGTAATGGCTGGTAATATCACAGCTGTCCACAGGAGGCCACTCAAATACTGTTTGTCACTTGTTCAACCCACACAGGCAGATTCGTCCCCCTGCACATAGGGTGACCAGATCACCCAACTCAAATATCGGGATGCGGGGGGGGGAGGGAAGGAGGGGCGTGGCAAAAACAAAAAGCAAAAAACACACCGTTCCTCCACAAGCGCTGGAGGGAGGCCCCAGAGATGCAGGGAAAGCACGGGGCCGGGGTGAGTGAGAGTCCGGCCTGGCCCCGAGCGCAGGCAGGACTCCGCGGGGCCAGGCGGTGGCTGTTCTCCCCTCCGGGCAGCGGGACTCAGAAGCAGCCACTGCTGCAGCTCCCACTGCCGCGGGGGAGGAAGCGGCCAATGGCCAAGCTCGGCGGCTGCGGCTCTGGCGCCTGGGCCCGCTGCGAGGACCTAGCAGCGTGCACGCTGCGCCCAGCCCCTGGTCAGTTGCGTCTGGGCTGCTGCCCAGCTGGTGCAATCCCGCAGCAGCCCCGGAGTGGGGGCAGCAGGCCCCAGCCCCCCCATCCCGCTCGGGTCCCGC